CCCCCCCCCCCCCCCCCGACCCAGGAAGGAACGGGTGCTGGGGTCATATCACCTCAGCCAAATATCTGTCCAGCCTCCTCTTCAAGATCCCCAAGGTAGGAGAGTGTACCACCTCATTTAGGACCCCATTCCAGAGCCTGGCAGTCTTAACTGTGAAGTAATTACTGTAGTGATGAATACAAACACAGTGACAGTTGATTTAACAAGCTGATTGACAGGTGTATTCCTTTGTATTGCTTTTATGCACCCACTTGTAAGTAGAGACTAACCATTAAAGAATATATTATACAAGAATTACATCTTTTTTTCTTTATTATTTTTTCCCTACAATGTTGCATTCAAACCATCTGCACCAATTTCAAATTTTGGATCAGTTTTTGGTTTTAATTGCCTAATAATAGAAGTACAGAATTTACTGAAATCTACTAAAATATATATATCTCTTTGATGTGTATTTTACTATAAAATCCAGTAGCTTGGTTTTCCTATCTTAAATGTGAATAGTTTTGATTCAGAACCTATTCAGTACCTCAGGTCTTTGCAGGTGCTGGGATCCTAGATGTGATTTTTTTTTTCCCTTGTTGGTTTATCTTTTTCCCAAGATAAAGCAACATGTTGCGTTATATTTTAAATATAAATGTGTATGAATGAATACAGTATAGCATAAGCCAGATGTCTGAGTGATTATAAAAGCAGTCTTGAAGTATAAACACAAATATTAATCATTGAACTCAATTAACAAGAACCAAATTTCCATGACAGTTTTTGAGTTATAATTTAATTGAAAGTTTTTATTTTAAATGTTTATCCAGTCACTTGAACTAGCATGGCTTGCAATACTTAAAGCTGTTTGTTGATTTTTCATTTTTGAATAATTAATGTTCACTCCCAGCCTTTCTCTTTGTCCAAACATTCCTTTGGGATGTGACAGTGTTCTTGACCATGCTAAAAGCACGTAATCCATACTTAGTCTTGGATCTCCATGGTAGATCACAACCCAGAATAATCATATTAATCCTATTTATTGCTTTTTTCATCCAGAAATAATTTATTTTCAGTCTGTCCAAGGTTATTGGAGCCATTTCTTTTCCCAACTCCTGCATTTTTATTGCTGATTTCCATTTTTATGTGGGTTCAGTAGATCTACTCATGCAGATTGTTTTTCAAGAAGCATCTGCAGCTACAACTGAGTGGTGAGCTGGCCAGCACCTCCCAGGATCCAACCTATGGCATATCTGTTTGCATTAATTTAAGTCTGAGTCAGTTGTTGATTGTTGCTTGCTTCCTTTGCATCTGTGTTGGCTCCAAATCAATATTTCCACTTTAATCCCTACTTGTCTTGTACGAGATGTTGCTGTTGAGAGGATGTATGTATGGATTGTTGATGCAGAACTCTGGTGTTAGTACATGTCATCACAGCTCTGGCATTAAAGGGGGACTGATTTGCAATGTCACCTGACTTCCTATGCTTAACTCCGTTTTATTATTTATCTGTCTTATAAAAAATTGCCACTGTTCGTTCTTTTCAAGCTCAGTTTGATGGGGATTGCAGAGAGAAGATGGACATTAATGACTGAGTTAGAGAGAGTGTCCTGTTTTTATACTTGGCCGCTGCCATGCTGGGAGTCCTGAACTGAGAGATGATGATTTATATGCACGATTTACTTTGATTTTCATTCATCTCCTCTTTCAGTAGCTTGTTTGTTTCAGGCATTATGACTTGGTCATTATATGTACCAGGGTATTATGTGGGAGAGATCTTAATTTTCACATGCACTGCAGGGGCACCCAGCATTTGAATCTTTATTAAATGCTTTTATTTCTAAAGCAATCATTTTGTCCATTCATTTTATAGGAAGCTTGGAAGACATATAGTCTTCATGAACATTGATAATTATTTGGTATGCATATCAAATCAGAATGGTATTTTGTGACCAATTGAGCAAGAGAACTTCTGGCAGTGGAACAAACTCCTGTCTATGAGGATGGGATCCAAATCTATTTTCAAATGTTCTTGGTGTCCTAATTAATAAATTTTTAATGTTGAGTACTGACTGGTAGGCTACTGTCATCCAGCTGCATCAGAAAAGTTGCTGGTACTGGTCGGTTCTTAATGGGTAGAGATAATTGATCAACGCAGTTGCTCTCCCCACCCCATCTTGTTGGAAGCTTTTACTGAATGGCTGCAAAGGGAAAGCTTCCATCTTTCTGTTAAAAGGGGTACCATTAATGGGAGTGGTGGATGGAGGGAAGCTGGTTCTACTACATCTGCACCCTGCTTATTGCATGGATAAAAACAAAGAAGTAGGTCTCCAGAGCCAGGTGCTCAGGATTAAACAACGCTAAAATTATAAAATTGTGATACTAACCTTTATTGACCATCCTTTATTCCCTACTTTTACATGGTTATTTGAAAAGGTGTGGGTAGGTGGCAGCTGTTCCAAGTGATTCAGAAGGGATTTCTTTGTACTGCGTAGCTTGTATTGACACCATCTTCATCATGTGATATCTGTGGGTTTTTTTTTTAGTATGGAGATTATGATCCCAGTGTTCATAAGCGGGGCTTCTTGGCACAAGAGGAGCTGCTTCCAAAACGGGTAAGGTGCTCAGTCAAGTAGAAGACTAAGTTCACAGTTGAGTTTCTGGGACTTAATGGCATGTCATGTAGAATAACCTTTGTGCAGAAGGTAGATGTAGGATTGACTGCAAAATTCACAAAGGTAGACCACTTTGCCTTTAAGAGAGTTGCTTTATCAAGGCAAATGATACAAAAGGGTTAATTGAATGAGGGCAGTTTAGTTTGAATCTAGAATTTTTTTCATGAAAACATAGCAAATGTTTTCTGCTCACTGGATCTTACAGCTGCATTCTGCAGGCATTTCATAGTGGTTTGAGATATGCTCAGGAAGGTTAGCTGAATGCTGGTTAATTAAAAGAGCAGAGGGCTGAGTATAGCTTATTCATGAGGCAGAAGGAAAGGCATATGAATTGGAGATCAGACATGAGGATTGGGATGATGTATGTGAAAGGGGAAGAAGGGTCAATTTTTGAATTTGAAGCTTACTATATCCAGTTCTGGATAGTGAGAGTGCCAGAACTGTGGCGGTATGAACCAAAATTTCTCTGCTTTTTTTTTTCCTCAGGTAATAAACCTTTACCAGATGACTCCAGAGATGTGGGAGGAAAGAATAACAGCATGGTATGCAGAGCATCGAGGCAGAGCAAGGTGAGCATCTGCTGACATGACCTATGGATAGATGTAAACTCCCTAGCCCAGCATCAGGCCATTCAGAGTGAAATATAGTCTCCTTGAGCCTTCACAAGCTATTCATGAGTTTTGCTAATAAAGAACTTTTAGCAGAGTCTAGATAGGTGACCCAAGTTACCATAGTAATGCTGTCTGAGTGGGAACAGTGGACCCACAGTATTATTTACACCTATTGGAACAGAAGTCTGTTCCAAAATTGCAATCATATTGGGGAGGCTGTATCTTTTTAGCTACACAGGTGAGGTTTGAAGTAGAGCAATGCCCTTGTGGGGTAAGAGCCTTCTGCCTTTATAGTACCCCTGCTGCCTAGTTGTTTCACACTGATGGAATTCCAGATAGAGACATTGGAATGCTACTATGGTAAGACCAGCTTGTGAAGAGACCTGGAAGCATTCCTTCTGGACAGCCATTGAGATGCAAGAGATGTTTATTGAGTAGGAGAAAGCAATAGGAATCCTTGCTTGGGAAATCTTAGGAATCTAGCAATTCCTTAATACTTCAGATTAATCTGGTGAGTTGCTGCCTAGGGTAGTAATCTTCTTCTCCTCCAGACTGAGCACAAAGGAAGATGCATCTGAATATAGGACTCCAGAAATTGAATATATTTCCAGTAATGTTGAAGGACCTGGAATGGATACGAGGCAAAGCTTGAAGCATTGTGTTGCTGTTCAGGCATTAGGATGCAGGCAGGTTGCAGTGTGGGATTTGCTGTGGATCTTCATTGATCCTGCTGGTAAAGACAGACTTGACCTGTGCAAAGGAGCCAGACCATGCTCCAGTGCATTGTGTAATATGAGGCTAAGAGAAGGCACCACCTCCTCCTCCATTCTTCCTCAACATCTGTATCTTTGATCCTTTTTTATCTGACAAGAGATGAAGCTGAAATGGAATATTTGAAGATAGCTCAGGACTTGGAGATGTATGGAGTGAACTACTTTGCAATAAAGGTGAGTCTGGGACAGGGTGGAGTTTCTTTAGTTTCACATGTCTCCCATGTGCATCTGAAACAGTGGCAGTGACAGATAAAGGGGGTGGTTCTTCCATTATAGGCTCACCTTCAAAATGACTTTGAGATTTGCTGGCTGGAATTTTTGTGCACTGTGCTAGTTATTTTTCTGTAGCCAGGAGAGCTAGTGGAAGGCTGATTCCTGAATTTTCGCAAGAGAATGAGCAAGTCGCTATCACCATACACTCGGTCTACCTGCCTGGTGCTTGGGAAGCACAAGTCCCTGTAGGATGCATGGCAGTTGTCAGTGCTCAGGGCTGGATGATGCTAGTAGAATGTAACTGTTTGTGTCAGATTTTTCTTAAGTGAATAAAAAGATGTGCTCTGCTCTGTTTTTCCCTCCTTCAGAATAAGAAGGGCACTGAACTGTTACTTGGTGTTGATGCCCTGGGGCTTCATATTTATGACCCAGAAAACAGGCTGACCCCCAAAATCTCTTTTCCATGGAATGAGATCCGGAACATCTCTTACAGCGATAAAGAGGTAGGACATGTTTGCCCTTATCTTTAATACAAACACCAATCAGAGTATGGCAGCAAATTAATGTGACACCTCTTATCTCCAGTTTTGCTTGCACTTGCTATGACTAGTACAGTCAAGGCTGTTTCAGCCTTACCAGTAGGACCCTTAATTCCAAGGCTTTTAGAAGTTTTCTGAAAGCAGGCATGCAAGAGCTCAGCCAGAAGCTATTTTTATTTGTTATTTTTAGAGCATTTACAAAACCTCTGCTTAGCCATTTCATAAAGAACATTTCCCTTGGTGTGCTCAGCCCAGCTGTCTGAAAGTTCAGAAGGTGAGAATCCTGTCTTACTGCAAATGTAGCCTTGTATTGTGAAGTATAATTAAATATGTTCCTAGCAAGAATGGTTTTGGATCCCCTTTGCCTCATTATAGTGTTCTGAGCTTCCGAACTTTTAGACTGCCTGGCTTGACACAATGATTGGAATTTTTTTTCTAGGAGGGTAAAGTGGTTTAGTTCCAAGTCTTACAGAAGATTTTTGATTAAGCCCTCAATGTAAATACGAATCTGTTACCTGAATTGTTGGACATCAAACACTGTTTGGAATAAAATTGGCTATGGAAAGTAAAACTGACTAATTTGTTTTCCAGTTTGAAGGAATTGTACAAAAGAAATGGGGTACATTTGTGGTGGGAAATATTAGCTTTTTCTATTTTTTCTTTTTAATGTAAACATAATATCAGTGAGAGCTAAAGATTTCTCATTCCATGTTTTGTTACATCTTGAGTGATTTCTTAGCCCATGATGTGTGTGTGTGGGGGGGGGGGGGGGTTTTTTTTTTTTTTATTGAACTTAAAATTAAAACTTTCTGTAACATAAAGAAACAACCCAAGCACAACAGTTCTTCATTTCCTGAGGCTCTTTGCAGCCCATCCCCAGGTCAGAAGTGAAAGCTCTCTGACCATGCATTCCTCCAAAGAATCTGAGAACTGAAATCTCTGTTGCTAGGCCTTGACATAAGACTGTAATAGATCTTTCCTTGGGGAAAGGAGCTGTCATCTTCTATCGTGTCAATAATCCTTGTAATAAGATGACCACAAGTAGACCTGACATGATAGTGAGCAGGCTTAATAGCTGTGTATGACAGCAACACCAACACAACAGAGATGTTTAATATGTTATAACAAAGATCAACTGGTTGTAGGGAGTTGGCGTTTCTCTTCTCCCCCTCCCCTTGTTGCTAGCAGTGAATATCATGGGTTCTGTTGAAGTAAAATCCAAAGACATTCATGCACGTCTGCCTGTGTGAAAGATTTAAAGATTGCCTCTTAAACTGACAAAACAAAAACACTGAGATGTGTTCTGCTGAATTCGTTTTCTGGTAGTACAGTGTATTGACAAATAGACCTGGTTTCATGGCTATAGACTCTATTCAACAGGGTTATCAGTTCGGCCAGCTTTTTTTTTTGCGATGTGTGGGGGAGTGAGATTGAGCATTGGAGTTTCAGGTGTCCTTCTGCTAGTCCATGGCCCTCACCAGCATAGCAGAGAGGGGACTATCTTGCTAGAATCCTATCCCTGGTGCTGCCGTCAGCATGATATCCACTTCAACCTGGAGGGAGATATACCATTCAAACTCTTTCCAGTTATGATTAAGACCCAGAAGGGGTTGAACCATTTAGGGTGGCATAAGAGAGTTTAAATACAAGTGAGAGGACAGGTATAACATCTAAAACTGAGAACAGTCTTCTAAGGGAAGTAGCGACACCTTTTTATGTAAGATAACAATCTCACACTGGTCATCAGGCCTGAAGATGGGTGGGTAGAAAATTGCTGTACCCATTTCTGCTTTCCTTATTTAACCCGTTCCATTAGGCTGTTCAGACAGGTTCCTCCAGTATTTCTATTCTGATGGGCCACAGTTTTCTCTTATGTTCTCAATCCTCCTTATCCTGATGGACAGAAGCATTTTGTCTTTGGCTGGAAGGATGAAGCTCTCTCTTCGAAGCCCAGTGCCTGTTGGGGATGGTCAGCAGAAGAAAGGCATTGCTTTCTGTAGACAGGCATTTTTTGCTCCTGAAGCCTGAGGAAATGTTGCTTGTGTGTGTGGGACTAGAGCTTTCCTGACCAGGGGAACAATACTCCCTTGATTGCTTTTGATCCTAGTTAGCCTGCTTGGCAGCCAGCCATGGGAGACAGCTCTCAGCCTTGTTTATCTGGCACTCCGCTGACCTGTTGTTAGGCAGCACTCTGTAATTCTCATTGAGGCCTTTTTTTTTTAATACTAGGCTTTGCTTGATACTTTTTTTTTTCCCTTCCCTTTTCAGTTTACGATTAAGCCATTGGACAAAAAGATTGATGTCTTTAAGTTCAATTCATCGAAACTGCGTGTGAACAAGCTGGTGAGTAAGTTCACAGACACAGTGATTTTTATTATCTGCAACTGACTCCTGGGGAAGCTCCTCTAGGCAAAGTAAGACAAGACACTTCTTTTTTTAAATCAGGCCATAGTTCGAGGTGGCAAACTGGACTGCTGCACTCTAGGTTAAATCCAGTGTGGTATATGCAATTAAGTTGCAGCCTGCTTATAAGAGGAGGACTTGCTTCTTCATGTAAATTCACCCCACTTCCATTGTTCTTCTTTTGGTTGCATCTGCCCAGTACTGTGGCAGAACTTGGTAGGTAAAACATTTTTTTTTTTTTTTGTCTCTCTCTCTCCTCTAAAATCCTGTGTGCCCCTCTGCTGACCTTCTTTTTGCTTCTCTGCTGAAATATTTCTCCTTGATCTGGGGTGATAACATTTGCCTAGCAGCAAATGCTAACTAATTGGTTGGTCCATGCTGGGCCTCTTTCAGGAGGCAAGCCTTGAGTTGGGATGAGTGGTTGCCCAAAGAGAGAGGTAGGTGACCTTGGCTCAGTTCTGTTCATTATTTATAGCCATTTTTTTTTTTTTACCTTATTGAAAACATTAAATACCCATCATAATTCAGAGCCAGGAGACCTCATAGTAAGATAGGGCCAGACTTACAAAATCGACTCCATCCACACAGCCGTTCAGGCATTAAAAAATGGCCTGATTTTTTTTCAGTGCTTCTCTCCATTTTTGGGAACAGTGAGAGTTTCTGGATGCTGACTTGCTTTTTGAAAATTTAACCCAGAAGCTATAATAACCATTAATTGTATTCACCAGCTTCATAGTGATGTTGTAAGCCAGGTTGTTCAATGGTGGCCTGCAGTCCATGAGGGATTAATTTGCAACCCCCAGGTTCCCACCCACCTGCTGTTCCCCCAACAGCTCCAGCTGTAATAGCAACCAGGGTCTCCAGGCTCCCTCTCCTTCCTCGGCTTACAATTATTGCCCCTGCCCCAGGGAGCAGAGTAGTGTGATATGGTACAGCCTATAGGGCTGGGGGAACCTGGAATTGGGGGAGCCCATGTGGCATGGTGTGGTGGGGGAGCTGAGGATGAGGTTGGGGGCCCCCCTAGCATGCAGCATTTGTCTGCTTTGAAATTGGATGGCTCAGCTGTAAGCATTCTGCTGCTGCATGCAGGTGGATCTTGAACCCAAAAAGGCAGCAGTGTCCATTGAGTAAAGAACCAGAGTGAATTGTATAAGACTTATTTTACTGTTTGAATTACCAAAGCTCTGGTCATGAGGGACCTAGATCCAGAACAAAAATATCCTTTGTGCCCCTAAAGAGTTTACAGTCCAAGTTCTATTCCTTGGGCAACTCATTCCACCTTCTTGTGTCTTGATTTTCGTTATCTTTGAAATGGGGATAATCATTTTGTAGGCCTGTGCAGATTTCATGCTTGAAAATGCTTTATAAGAACTGACTACTTCAGCTCTACTTTAGGTGCCAGAAGTAAAAGCCACACCTTATAAGTATATAGTAATTTCCTTCCACTCTTCTCTTTTTGACTGGGACAGATTCTTCAGCTGTGTATTGGAAATCATGACTTATTCATGAGAAGAAGAAAGGCAGACTCATTGGAGGTCCAGCAGATGAAAGCACAGGCCAGGGAAGAGAAAGCCAGGAAGCAGGTGAGATGCCTTACAATCCAGCCGTCCCTTGAGCCAAAATCAGAAGTATAAACTTAGCAGGGAGAAGCAGATTGCAGGGCATAAACAGCGAGCAGCAGGTTGAACGATCCAGGTTTAGGCTACACTTAATTTCTTGTTAAGTAGCCTGCTCTCTCACTACCAGTCATTCTCTATTTTGTTACATGAGTTGATGGCAGAATGGCTGCCAAGTCAGCAGCCTACAGGCTCAGGAGTATGATTAGGAAGGGAAGGGATAACCTGTGTATACTGTAAATGCATGTTTATCCACCCCTAATAATCCTGCTTCTGGGCTCTTTTGCTGGAAAGTTTAATGTCTTGGGGAAGTTGATCATAATTAAGGCAGGGCCTGTGAGGGGAGCTGTGCTTTGCTTTTGCTCTGTGCTCTCATTTTCTAATTAGATGGTGATAGAATGCACACCGACATTTTGGGGCGTGCAGCTTGCATGCTAATTCAGTCCTGGCCTCCTTTATCCACTGCAGGTCAGCCTAAGCGGCAGGAACAGGACATTGCAGGCGGCAGCATGTAGCCAATGAGCGTATATCAGCAAATTGGATTGTATGAATCATTGTTTTCTGCTCACAGACCTTTTCTACTCATTGAAACCCACACAGCTAATCTGAGTGCTACTGCTTAGAATATAAATTTCCATTTCTGGGTAAGCCACTAGGTAGCAGCAGCAACAGCTAAAGCAACCAGCTACACCAAGAGAAGTCTAAGCTCAAAAGAGTATTAAATTAATGTACTTCACTTGGATCTGAGCATGTCCATTGAGGGTCACCACACAGTATTGTGGGGCTAGAACTGAGTGCTTTGACCAGCTTAGTGGTATGCTGTAGATGGTCTTAGAGAAGACTTGTGTCCGGATCTCTTGTCTGAACTGAGGAGATCTGAGTGGGTGGGCTCCAGGGTATTGTGTCTTCATCTTTTGAGAGGAAAAGCAACTTAAATCCAACAACCACCTCTTCGGCCATAAGAAACTGGCTTGAGCAGAATGAAAGAAGTCCCCTGCAGTTGTTCTTGGCATGGAGGGTGAAGAGGGAACCTGGAGCCTTCAGCATATCAGGGGAGTAGGTGTTTGGAATTTGATGAGTTCCTTTTGGAAAGTGGAGGACGTCTTCATAAATTCAACAAAAGCTTGAGATCCTGTTGGCAACCTGGGAGGGGCCTCTGGTCTTGGGGGAAGCTACATGGGGTTGTGACTGCCTGGCACTGGATATGGGGCAACTAAACATTTATTGTAGACAATGAAATGGGCAATGTTTTTGCAGGGCTGTGGGAAAAGTATGCACTGCACAAGAAATGCCATGGATCCTGTGGTGATGTGCTGTCCTGTCTTGATTTAATCCCCATGTTCCACCTCAGTCCTCAAGCTCTGGAACTGTTAACTAGCTCTGGGCAGCTCTGTAACATCAGGGGCCTATGAGTGCCTATGATACAGATTGTGATGATAAGTCATAAATGATGAAGGACATCTTTAATAGAGAGAAGGAGCAGTCCTGTTGCAATGAATAGCATGCTTTCAGAGCACAGCCTGTGCCTGAGGACCAGGAAAGTGTCTTGCTACATTTTTTTCCTTTTATTAAACTCTGTATGTCCTATGAATAATGCAGCGATCCTTAAATGTAATCTAGACATTTATAATGGATCTATTACTGTGGTATGTGGCTACCAGAAACTGGCATACTAACTGCCTTTGTGGTTCCCCTTCACCACTTGGCCTGAGCTTGCGTAGTATGCTGCTGCTGTTTTAAACAGCCAGTATCGGAGAACTGCCTTTTCACTCGATATTCTTCTGGGTTTCAGGTGCAGGACATTCTGATAGGTTTTGTTGCACTGGAGAGGGTATCATGGCTTTTTGTTGACGGCGTCAGAGGTAGCAGCTTGCCTTGTATAGGAGTTGGAACGTGGCACGTTGTACTCCTTTCTGGCTTCCGCGGTGAATGAATGCAAAGCAGAAGGAACTGTTAGTGCACTAGGCTAGATCTGTTGTGCCAGTCTGAAAATAACTATGCATATTCTTTCATATTCAGGATTACTCAGTCCTGCACTCTAACTACTGAGCAGTCCTCCCTTCCTGTCCTGTGAGATGACATTATGCTTATGTGATGCACTGAACTTTTATTACACTGATATATGTGGCTTTTCCCTTCTCTGACCCTTGTCCATAGATGGAACGACAGCGTCTGGCCCGGGAGAAGCAGATGAGGGAAGAGGCAGAACGAACAAGGGATGAGTTAGAGAGGAGGCTTTTGCAGCTAAAAGAAGAGGCTACAATGGCCAATGAGGCTCTGGTAAGTCTGTGGGGGGAACCTTCCCCAGGCACTGCAGCCATTCTTGATCTCTGTTGCTGAAGTGTTCTAGGGGACATGCAGTAAGCACCTTGAGGTTGTGATCAAAGTGGATAGTGATCAGGGAGGCAGATAGGTATGAAGCAAGAGCTCTGGAGGAGGGTTGATTCCTGCTGTATCAGGATCTCCAAGGAGGTTTGATTAGAGAGAGAGATGCTAATTTTTTTTGGGTCTTGAGAGCTAGTATGCAAAGGCCAGGGCACTGCAGACTACTGTGGAAGTGGGGAGTTCAACTACATTTGAGTCAGAGTTAAACTGGTGGGGGAGGCACCTCAGTTTCTGTAATTGGATCTTAAGTACATTGTGGTGGAGGTCCTGTACATACTGACAGAGATGTGCGTTACTTCTCAGATGAGGTCTGAAGAAACAGCGGATTTGCTGGCTGAAAAAGCCCAGATCACAGAAGAGGAGGCCAAGCTCCTGGCTCAGAAAGCAGCTGAGGCAGAACAGGAGATGCAGCGAATCAAAGCAACAGCCATTCGGACAGAAGAGGAGAAACGCTTGATGGAACAGAAGGTGCTGGAAGCAGAGATGTTGGCCCTGAAAATGGCAGAAGAATCGGAGAGAAGGTCAGAAGAAAGAACCCTGCACCTGCTTTGGTGCTTCATTTTCCAAGTCTCTCAGTGAGCTTAGCTGAGACAATTTACTCGGATATCACCACTGCATAGACTTTCCAGATGGTTGACAGTGAGCCCCTGGCATCCCCTGCGCATGCAATGGCTTATGGCCCCAGCTGGTTCCTTCCTTTATGGAACTGTTTGCCATGGTTAGCCAGTCACTGCATGGTAAACTGATGCTACTATATGTAGAGATAGATGCAGATAAAGATATTACAGAGATATAGCGAGTATAGATATCCCTGTGTTTTTTTTTCTCTTTCTGGTGCTTGCTGCTTCTCTGTGTTCTTATGGGGAGAAAAGAAATACTATGCAGAGTGACTAGGAAATGGGTCCTCAACTAATAGCTTGGGGAATGGGTGGAATATTTTGTACCTGGAAGACACTGTTCCTCTAAACTGTGCAAAAGTCTCTTTCCCTGAGTCGTCTTGGAGCAAGCACTACATAAACACCAGCAACTGTTGGCTTGTGTTCTCTGGCAACCCTACAACTCCTTGACAAACACCCTCTATAGTTTCCAAATCTTTAATTAACAATACTTAATTTTGCTTTTAGCTACCAAATTCAATTAAGTATTCTTCATTTGGCCTGTATGTTGCACTCCCAGACTTTTTCTTGTCCTGACAAGTCACAGAGCTTCTGTTGCATGTTAGGCTTTAAAGGACAGCAAAAAGTCCTTCTATAGGTACATAGGGAGCAAGAAAAAAATCAAGCGCCCCTGTGGGGCCCCTACAGAATTTGAGGGGGCAGTCCGCAGTTGATTCACCACAAAAAGGTAGGGTTCCTAAATACTTACTTCACATCAGTGTTCCTGAAATCAGACTGGAGCTGTTCACCTCTCCAGAGGCCCAGGGAATATAGAGAAGACAGCAGCCCACATAAAATCGGTTCTGAACAGGTGAGGGTACTCTTAGATCATCTGGGCATATTCAGGTCTTCTGGGCCAGATGACCTGAATCTGAGAGTCCTGAAAACTGGCTGAGCTCATAGCAGAGCCTCTGGCAAAGCTGTTCAAAGAGTCATGGAATTTGGGAGTAGCCCTGACCGACTGGAAGAGAGCTAATGTACCCATCCTTAAGAAAGGGAAAAGGGACGATCCTGTAAACTACAGACTGGTCAGTCTAACCTTGGTCCTGGGAACAATGTTTGAAAAAATTGTCAAGGAGGCCATGAACCACAAGCTTTGTAACTGGTGGGGTGTTGAGAAGCAACCAGCAGGGATTTGTCAAGGGCAGGTCATGCCTAACAAACCTGGTGTCCTTTTATGACCAGGTAACTAATTAGCTGAACAAGGGGCATGAGGGTGTCATCATTTACCTAGACTTCAGCAAGACCTTTAATACTGTTTCCCATGAGAACATATCAATTAAGCTGGAGGGTACTGGCCTAGACCAGTCTACAATGAGGTGGGTTGGCAGTTGGCTCAGAGGTTGATCCCAGAGAGTTGTAATTGATGGGATGGCTTCATCCTGGAGGGCCATCTCCAGCAGTGTCCCCCAGGGATTGGTGCTTGGGCCTGTGCTCTTCAACATCTTTATCAATGACTTGGATGAGGGGGTAGAAAACTCAGTGATTTAAGTTTGCAGACTACACCAAGTTGTGAGGAAATGTGGACACATCTGAGTAAGGATCCGAGATGACCTCAACAGATTGGTCCTATGGGCTTAACGCAGTCAGACGAGGTTCAGTAGAGACATGTGCCAGGTAGGAGGAACCTTCATCATATCTATATGATGGGTGGTGGTCCTCTGTCTGGCACTATATCTGAGAGGGACCTTGGGATGACAGTTGACCAGAAGATGAATATGAGCGGACAGTGCGATGAAGTTGCCAGTAGGGCAAATAGGACTCTGGCATGTATCAGCCGATGTGGTGCGAACAGATCCAGAGAGGTGCTTCTCTGTCTCTTTGGTGTTGGTGAGGCCACAGCTGGAGTACTGTGTCCAGTTCTGTGCACCACCTTTCAGGAAGGATGTTGATAAACTTCAAAGGGTGTAGAGAAGGGCCACTCAGATGATCAGGGGCCTGGAGGATAGGCCCTTTGAGGAGATATTCCAGGTACTGGAGCAAGAGAAGACTGAGGTGACTTGATAGGTGCCCACAAGTATGTCAAAGATGAACACCAAGATCTAGGGGAGCAGCTCTTCAGTAGGGCACCTCCAGGGAGCACAAGGACCAACAGGCACAAGCTAATTGAGGGAAGATTTAAATTAGACATTAGGAAAAACTTCTTTTCCGTAAGGGTATCTAGAATCTGGAACACTCCCAGTAGAGGTGGTGCAGTCTCCATCCTTGGAGGTGTTCAAGAGGAGGCTGGACAGGCACCTCATTGAGCTTGTTTGAGCTCAATAACACCCTGTCTATGGCAGGGAGCCAGCCTTGATGATCTTACAGGTCCCTTCCACTCCTTTGATTCTGTGATTCTGCCATTGGTGCCAGAGTTTGTCATGCATTAAATTTCGTGTTTCTAGCTTTAAGATGCTAGAGTTCCTTTTGTGCAGTGCATTCATTAGTGGGTGGATTAAAAATAGCAGCTTCCTTCCCATTATTGTTATAGGAATGCAATAGGTTTCAGATTTCACTTGCTCAGGAACTGTCCCTAGTCCCTTCTCTACCTTGATCTTCCTGTAAACTTTGATTCAGCAAAGTAGGCTTTCATCTCTCCAACCTCTCTTCCTGATCTTTCCCTTTGCTTTCCACCCAGGGCATATCCTCAGGAGCTGTGAGCATCAAGGGTAAATGCTATAGTAAAACCCCAGGGCTCTGAGATTAGAGTGAAGGGCCATATAATACTTGTTGAGTATTTTCTGTATAGAGTACCTGTAATTATTGCAGCTCTCAGTAGATGGTTAATATTCAGAAGACAAGCAGGAGCTTCAGTCTGCTCTGCTTCAATTTTTGATTGTTCGTTGTTATTCCCAAGTTGCTCTTTCTACTCTAACCAGCTTGACCTGCTCTTTCAAGTGTTAGTCTCTTTGCAAATGTTGGCATAATGTCTGTATATGCGCTTCCTGATTTTTACCTCCTTGCTGTTTCTGGAAACTTTACCTAGGGTATCTGGCTATAAACTGATATAAAAGACCCTAGTAGATCATCTAGTTGGTCTCTCATGTACAGTAGCTAGCGCAAGTTTGTTTCTGTTATGTTTTGTCCAGTCTGGTTTGAAAGTTTCAAGTGCTCTAGTTCCCACCATTTTCCTTGTACAATCTATTCTGTAATTGGACAAGTCTCATTGCCAGAGAAATATCAATTCTCCCTACAGCTAGACTTTGTGCTTCATTGCCTTTAACATGCTCCATTCCTCCCTGCTCAACTTTGATCTGGTATTTGTCATTATTGCTGCTCCTGTATCTAGGGCGAAGGAGGCTGATCAGCTAAAGCAGGACCTTCAGGAAGCCCGTGAGTCAGAGCGGAGAGCAAAGCAGAAACTCTTGGAGATCACCAGCAAGTCATCCTACACAGTAAGTGATCTATATTATAGTTCTATCGCTCCCTTCCCCTGCTGCTACATGAGAGGGCACAAAGGTCCCTTTGTGGAGTGACATGAGTTGGGTTATTCAGTTGCGTAGGAATGGTAATTGCCAACAATTTCCTGTGCTGGCCGACCAGAATCCTGGGCTCCCTGGCTAGCAGAGAGGAGATGGCTTCATTTTACCTCCCCCTTACCCTGTTTCATAATCAAAGAACAAGGAAGTTCCCCAGTTAAACTAAAGGCAGCAGGCTTTAAGCTAATGAAAAGCAGTGCTTTGTTAGCCTGTAGTGCTTGCTGACATGAGGTAGTATTTGTGGCTGAGGGCTTAGTAGCAGCATTCAGAATAGGATTAAATACTTACTCATATAAGAACATCCTCCATTTCATTAGATAGGATAAAAATTGCTCAAAACCTGTAAACTCATGCTTCAGGGCATAAACCAACTGCTGACTACCTGGGTTCAGGAAGTAGCTTCCTTTCGGGAGGGATGATTATGTAATTGCCCACTAAGAGGTTTTCACACCTTCCATTGAAGCATCCTGTGTTGGTTGCTGTGGGAGACTGAATGCTAGACCAAATGACCAGTATGATTTGATCTGGCAATTTGCTTTTTCCTGTTTTTCCTTTATAATGCAATAAATCACATTAGGAACTGTTTTGCTATCAAATATTTTCAGCCTCAGCAGCTTACACTTTCTGGGCTTCCTATACTGCTGTTTGTCTTGGAGGGGGATGGGTTGTCTTCCTGAATGAACTCATGGGTTGCTTCCAAAAGGGAATAATTATTAACCCTTTCCCTATTACAGGTTTTCTTTAAACCTCCCTCCCTTCACATAAGTGTACAAAGAGAGTTTGAGGTGCATCACTTTTCATCCAGATTCTCCAAAGCTTCCTGAAAACGTTCAGAAGCTTTTAAGAAATTACAGAGATGAAATAAGTCAGACACTTCCAGCTTGAGGGCCCCAAGTTGAATGCTCACTGCCTGTGTGCTTTATAAGCTGCCTTTGGAATGCTCCAAGCTTTACTACCCCATGGATCAACAGGCTGCTGAAGGTCCACTAGCTCTCTAATGATGGCTTTATTGTACCCAAAGGGTGGCAGATCCTTGCTTGAAAGCCTAATGGCCATATCAGTCAAGTGAAGAGTTTACATCTCTAGACTCCCTTAGGCTGGTGGGTCCATCCTGCGTTAAACCCACAGGAAAGTGACTAGAAAGCTTTCTTCTTCTGCCCCATCCTCTGTGTCTTGCTCTGTGCTAATCAGTAGCCAGCATTAATATATTCTTGCCTCTAGAATTGAAATATGATTAAAGGGAATATTGCAGGACAGAATCAAGCTGGGTTCCACCCCTCCAGCCATATTGATCCTGGAGGCATTCCATGTAGAACTTTTGCTTCTACCACACATTTTGTTGCACCCTCTCCCTTAAAGGGATGTGAGCTTTTCACAGCAAAGCTCCCTGTATGGGGAAGAAAAAAGGTATCTTCCTCTTTTTTTTCTACTTCTGGTTACATTTTTAGCTGTCCCCTGTAGGCTGCCACTCAGATGAACTTAAGTACCAATACATCACATGTGCTCAAAGGCTGCTATTTACTGTGATGGCAAATGTCAGTAGTATGCAAGTGTGGCCATTGTAGTTGCATAAGTAGAGCACTGCTTAGTTTCCTGCATATTTCTAAAGTGCTCTTCTCCTCATCTGCTGTTATGCCTGTCTCTTTTTCTTCCCATGTGGTTTGTCTTGCTCTGCTCTGTGTTAGGGGGCAGTCAAGTGAAAATACTGAAATCCAGTACTTGCACAGTGTTTCAGAGAGGTGGCTATAGGTAAGCATTCCTTCCCTGCTAGCACGCAGAGGGACCATGAACAATCAGAGAAGGTGAATAAGAATGTAGTGACGTAGAGGAGTTGGGTTTCTAAAACTACTGCATCTGCATGTTAGGAGGCTTATGTCCCTTAGGTAAATTGCAGCTCTGCCTAATATAGGGTATGGTATCTGGACCTCTCCCTGCCTTTACCAGGCTGTAACTCTAAATATGTTCTTTCCTGTTTTGTCCCTGTAGTTGGGTTATATTGTGTCTCAGCAATCAGAGTAAGCGGGATCCTTTTACTAGTCTGCCAAGGGAGGAAAGTGAAAAAGACATGGAACAGCAGAAGTAGCTAAAGCTGCCAAAAGGACAAGTGATCGTTAATAGTTTTGTGACATTCCCATCTCTGACTGGCTGTTGATGTTCTTTACAGAGCTTTCTAAAGTGTCCTTGCAGCTCTTGGAGTCCATGGCCAGCTGTGTGGCTTGTTTTTTGTTATTACTAGCCATTGGCATATGCAGCACAAAGGGAATATGAATTTAAGTCTCTGGCCAGCAGGGATACAATTGCTTTGTGCCATTCTTTATTGATGCAGTTGGCAGTGTCTGGCTCCAGAGTGAGTCTCATCCAATTCCCATCTGCTGGCAGAGTGCAAGAGGAGTAAAAGGAGGGGAAGAATTCTCATCACTCTCAGGAGGACTTGGCAGACCCTTCACTGATGTCCTCTTTCTTTCCAGACCGGTCTCTTTATCCCTGTTCTTCAGCAGCTCCCTGTACCCCAACTCCCTGCCTGGTGATTTTTCCTAAACCCATAGGGAAGAGAGGGAAGAACATGATGTTAATGACAAAAAATTGGAATGGTGATTTAGAGAACAGAGCTCCTGAAGTTCCTCTTAAAGGGTGCGTGTATATAAGTGCAGAGGCTGCTTTGATGCGCTCTAATTACAGCATGTCAGAGCAGACTCAATAATAGAGTCTGCTGGAATGTGGCAATTACTGTACTCCAGCAATCTCCTGTGTCTCATGTATCTGTCCCTGCACTTGAAAATGGCTGCAGGTTGCTTGAACTAAAGCTTGTTGAACAAGCTTTAGTTCAAGCTGCCATTTTTAAGCATGGGGACACTGATACATGACACACTGCAACCCTTTAATTAAAGCAGCTGGTAGCTGCTTTAGTTAAAGCAC